ATAGGTCCATCATGTCAACCACTTGGCGTAGGCCCATTCGATCCTCCGCACGACCTGAATCTGTCGATTGACGCCCTGCTTGACGTCGAGGAGATCGTCCAGGTCCTCGAGAAATTCGCGCCACACGCTCCGGGGCAGGACTTGTGCGGCGCGCTGGCGCAGCAGGTGAGTTTCGCAGAGGAGGAAGCCGTGGTTTTCTTCCGAGATGATGCCTTGGTCGATGTCGAGGTCCGAAGAGGTCAATGTGCGGTCGATGTTTCTAGTGGAATGGGCACTCTGTCAGAAAGGGGAATCTTTTCGGGGGCTCGTGGTTGAAAACAGGGGCTGAGGACATTGGAAAGTTACTGTAAGAGGGACGTACCTGATAAGACGGATTGTTTCGCCCTTTTTCATCCCCTGGCGCAGACCTTTGCGGCCTCCAAAGACGTTCCTCAGCCATTGAAAGAGGAAGTACGAGATGAGCACTCCAGGAGCGATTCCGACGAAGCCGAAGAGCAATTCCTGGCTCTTGAGCAGAGAATCTATCCCACCGATGGCTACCTCGACGTCGACTTTGGTCTTTTGGACCTGAATGAGTAAGGTGCGGACCAGATCGCCCATGATGGCGTTCTTGATCGGGCTCTGCATCTCTCTCTCATACGCCCTCAACACTGGCGTGAGGTCTCCTTCCTTCACCTTGGCCCTGAGTTCGGCGATTTCTGCTTCTGTGAAATTGGCACCCTTTTCATCAGGGTGCTGAATGGCAAAATCGACCACCATACGCTCCAGGCTTTCCCTGTCTGCCCGAAGACTGTCGCGACTCTGGATTGCTATCTCGCTCTGCTCGTCGTGGCGAATCGTCCCGATGAGTTTCTTCGTCGGCTCGATGACCCAGTTTGTCCAGAAGTCGATGGTAGTTTGGCCCAGGTCCCGGAACCATTGGGCAATTTCGGCTTTTCTGTTGACAAGTATTCGAAGTAAAGTACTCCCTGAGAGGAGCAAACCCACGGCAGGAATCCAGTAGCGGACCAACCTCGACGGTTTGCCGTATTTTAATCGCAAATCTTCCGCCTCTTTTTCCTGCGCCGGGAGGCGTTCATCCAGGATTTTCACCAGGAGATTGGCAACTTCTGTTGAGGAGGCGGTTTGCGGGTCAAAGCTGAACTCTTCGATGTCGTCGTGGCTCCTCGTGACACTATCCAGAAGATAGGCTGCTCGAGCTATCGTAGTCTGCCAGTCATCCTCTTCTGCCTCCAGCACTTGGAGTAAGGCGCCGTGTTTACGATCTTCTGGAGGCCCTCCAAAGACAAGACATTCCCTGACAATTCTGCCAATTGATCCAGCACTGGACTTTCTGAGGTGTTGTATACGCTCTAGATTTCTCCGTGCCTGCATACGAGCTATAGAGAAGGGCGATAGGATCTTTGTTTGCGCTTGGGCCAAGGAGCGTTCTCGGATGCTGTTTTGAACAAGGCCATAGAACTCACGCCAACCCTCAGTCACGGTTCTTGTAGCTTGTCTCGCAGAGGCTGTGAGGTCATGTCCCTGCCAAAACTTCTGTCGCGCATCAGCATAAACTTCCTTGGCCTGCGCCCAAAATCTGATGGGCGATGTTTGGATTGTATAGAGGAGAATATTTCCATAGGACCCCAAAATATCGTCCCAGTACCAGATAGACTCGCTTAAGGGAATTGTTCGATCCAGGAGAGAATTGAGGATCAATCCGTAGACTTGAGCCGTTGCCTTTCCTGTTGCAATCCACTCTAGATTTGATATGTCTGGCGAAATTGTCTCGGCAACCACCTGCTCCCCCTCTTTTCTGCCAAGTTGACGTAGCAAACTGCGCAGCCTAGTACGACGTAAAAGGGGCCTCGAGCTCGAAGTTGTCGATAATGCTCGGACTACTGCTTTGAGCTCGGCGGTTCGAGCATCCTCAACTAGCGGTGCAGCGACTCTTTCTCCTTCGGTAGTTGCGGCGGATATTCTCTCCTCGGCCTCCTTCAGCTGGAATCTATCCAGAGCTGCATCGACTCGCCGTAGATCACTAGAGGGGAGTCAGAAGGGACACTCAAGACAAGGCGTTGGAGAAGAGCTCACTCGTCAATGAACGACATGTTTGTAGAGTGATCTGAGTCTCGTCTTCACACGGATCAGAATAGCATTCCCAGTCCGAGAAGATAAAGAACCCCGCTGTAGGCGATCATATTGGGCGTTCCATCGCGCCGGAGAGGATCATAGAGACAGCACTTAATGGGGATACGATGTTGTCCACCTTGGAAATTCACGATTGTTATTGAGTTTGGCAGATAGGGACGCCACAAAGCGCAGAGATCATGTAGCTGGTGTGTCCATCCCGAACAAAAACGTCAAGCCGGGCTTTAAATGACGTCACGCTAAAAACATGCTGCCGTCTTCGTGGAACAGATATTGACAGGGCAAGGCTGTCGTTGAGCCTTGTCAACTGTCGGCCACGCTTACTAACCAAGCCGAGAACACAGTAATGCTCATTAGACTTAGGAAAGGCTCCCGACTTCTGAGGGTTCGAAGGAGTGTATATACATCTTACCATTCCCCTTCCAGCTGCAATATATTTGTCAATAAGTATGAATTAATGATGATAGTTCGTGTCGCTTTCACCTAAAAGTGGTGCCAAAGGAAAGCGTTGTAAGGGGAGGGGTTTTGGTGGTTTTGGGGGGGGGGGGTTCCGGCATCAGTCACTGGGTACCCAAGAGGTGCCTAGCATAGGTACCACAAATTAGCCGTACCAGCCCCCCAGCTCCTTGTCGTAGGCACGAACTAGGCCTCCTCCTGCTCGCCTCCAACCGTTGCGACCTCGCAACCGCCAACCGTCAACCCGTTGCATCTCGGAAATCCCGCGTGCCATCTGCGTTCTGGCCTGTCTGGCTTGGGGACCTAGTGAGGACTCGGCCGCCTTGCAAATCGCCTGCGCTCCTCCTCCCACGAGTCACTCCGACTTCTAACCTCCAACATCCGCATCCGAGCGACATCATCTGTCGCATCTATCCACCTCCCACCCATCCCTCCTGATTCTTGACAGGCTACATCTTCGACACAAAGCTGCCGAATATTCCAATATTTCGCTTCCTATTTCCTGGTCATTCTTCCAAGTCTCTTCCCCAGTGGACTGGTCCCCTCTACGCCGCCGACGTTAGCTAGGCGCACTGAGATTCAGCAGGTCATCTGCGAACAAATCCGCCACCTCGAAGGCGACTGACTGGACTTCTCTTGGTCATATACGATAACTCGTAACCACCTCTTCACCCCTTCTATTCCATTCTTGCATAATCACGATGGCTGGTCAACGGAATTACGACTTTCTAGTATGTATTATATGCCTCGTTGACTGGGTGTTTGCCCGGTTTGTCACCGCTCAGCATGTCTTATTCTAATCATTTTCTTCTCCCAGATAAAACTCCTCTTGATTGGCGATTCTGGCGTGGGAAAGTCATGCTGCCTGTTACGCTTCAGTGAAGACAGCTTCACCCCTAGCTTCATCACGACCATCGGTATCGACTTCAAGATCCGGACTATTGATTTGGACGGCAAGAGGGTGAAACTGCAGATATGGGACACAGCAGGTCAAGAGCGCTTCAGGACGATCACCACCGCTTACTATCGAGGCGCAATGGGTATTCTGTTGGTATACGATGTGACGGACGAAAAGAGCTTCAACAGTATGGCCACATCCACTCCATCGTCGTTGCGGATGGCATCTCTAACCTTTCATTATCATTAGATATAAGGACATGGTTCTCCAACGTCGAACAACATGCCAGCGAAGGTGTCAACAAAATCCTCATCGGCAACAAGTGTGACTGGGAGGAGAAACGTGCTGTCTCCACGGAACAAGGCCAAGCGCTCGCAGACGAATTGGGTATTCCCTTTCTGGAAGTCAGCGCCAAATCGAATATCAACATCGAAAAGGCATTTTACTCATTAGCGTCGGACTGCAAGAAGCGATTGATTGACAGTTCGAAAGATGCGGGTGGATCTGGATCAGGTGGCCAAGGTGTCGGTGGAGGTGTTAATGTCACCCAGAATCAGAACGGCGCTATGGGTGGAAAGTGTTGTTAAATTGAAGTGACCAGAGGGAGAACATCTAAAGGAAGTCCGTCCGAATCGCGGCCTCGTGCTGACGTGAAGAACGAATCGGTCTGGAGGGAATGTTGTGGAGAACCACCTTTGAATGCATGGCTGAAGCGATCCGGCACCGTCCTCCCGCACGACAGGAGCTATCTATGCATGATCAGCTATCTCTTACCAGGTGGACGATTCCCGTGTCTCAGCAACACTACAGTTGACCGACCTAATGTTCATCCATGCATATCTGAGAGGAACCGCGATTCGTGAGGACGTTCGAGCCAATTCTTCGCTGGAGCAATTTATGCCCAAGCGGTGCTTTTAATTGTCCTTGCCAAGCGCCGCTCACGCCAGGTGTTCCAGCTCACTCAATAGGGTACAGGTTCAGCCGACTGCGGTGTTTGGAAAGGTCTATTGGGGGGTTTGAGGGTAAAAGGAGTTGTTTCTATCGAGGGAATCAGGGGCCGGATACATTTTATACAGTCCTTGGGCTCGTTAACAGATCATGTAGAGCTGCGCATGCAAATGAGGCTTTTGTTGTTTTGATCCTTACGACCAAGTTGGTGAATATCCTCTCTGTCCGTCTTTTAGTTCCCTGGCCGCACCCGACGAGACACAGTGCGTGGCAAGATACTTGGGTAACGAGACTGGTAGAACACGACGACAAAGAACGATCATGGTTGGAAAAAGGAGAAAAAGTCCAAGGGATAGTATTTCAATACTCCATGTTATGCTGCTCTTGAAGTGCGCATGCCCCGCAATGAAGATTCATTCATCATCGGCCGATCCAAGGTCGGTCCATCCTTGTATTCGTGTCCGTCATCTTTGCCGCGTCCAAGCTACCTAACGGCATGTTGTGGGAGAGCCGGTGGGACTTGTATGTAGCATCTCCTGCCGCACCTTTCATTTTATCATCGCTTTCAATACCCCACACTGACAAGATAGGCGGCGAGCTTCTCGACTGTGTTTGCCGCTGTGCCTGGTTGTATTGTCTCAGGGTAATGTGTGATAAGCAGAGCCTGTTTCGTCTTGACGATGACGACGCCTTCTCGACCCTGTGTATTGCCGAAGTCCAACAGTCAGCCCCATGTTCAACTCTACAGTCTACCTCCAGCGGCCCCTTGCTAGGACGCAGAACCCACCTTCTTCCCGTACAAACTTGTCTCGTCCGCCTTGATGACAATGTACTTCTGTCCTGCGATGTGCAATCCCGTAGATTGCACCTTTTTGGGCACTGAGGTATCCTTGTATGCGCCAACAACCTCTTGCATTTCTTGCGGGCTCACGTTGAAGTTCGGCGACGAGGCCCAGACGGAGTTGCCATCAGCGTTAAAAATTGCGGCTTTGTCAACGTGGCCGGTGCCAACGAGACTATAATTCAGATAAACACGTGTCAGCTGTGTACATGTGGATCGTCTGGAGTTGGCATCGCAGGCTCATGGATTTGGAATACCTCGAATCGACGTAGGCTACGACATGGATTCATTCGAGTCAGCAAGCACTTCTGTGTACTAGGATATTGTCCAGCCCATCAATAACAACTTACCTTGCCAAGACATAGCTGGGGATCGTGTTGTGATAAACGGAGCAGCGAGGAGATATGGCCCAGGAGAAGTCAATCAAGTTGCCTGGTGTAGGTCGGAACAAGGGGGTCTCCCGGTGTTCGCGTAGCAGAAGCAGATCGAGTATAAGACGTGTAGGACGTAGGACGAGATAAACCGGCCCGCGGAGGATGAGACCGAGCAATTCAGGTGCGAAGAATAAGTAGGAGAAGGACGATGCGTGAGGCAATCGACATTTGACTGTGACTGTGACGGTGGTTTTGGTGGGGGTTGGATCTCGTAATTTCAAATGACGATCAACCGAAAAATCCTCGCTGCCTGACAACTTGCAACTACCCCGCCACACCCGCCAGGAGCCACACCGCGTCGCTTGTTGCGTTGTTCCTTTCACTCCTCCGACGCCGCAACAGCACTTGATCCTTTGACTGTTGCCTCTATGTTCAATTCCCAATTCCTTCTCTAAACGCTCCGCCTACCGTCACTCAAAGGTCTGCTAGAAGATCGCGCGATGCGAGAGAATCCCGAACCATTTTGGCAGAACGATTGAATTGACAAGCTGCACGCCGCACAGCCGACTCCGAGACCACTCCTCCCATCGAGACATCCACTCCAGCACGCTTTGGTGCCACATGTGGAGTCTCAATTCATGAAACAAAAAGTGCGGTGAACGCAAGTCTTAATACTAGTGGCAATAGGAACCTCAACCCTGCGATGTTTTGCCCACTTCAACATCCTGTTTATGCCAACCAGAGAAAATCAGCCATTAGGAATGGTAATACCTTACAGCAGACGCCTCGAGGTGTGGTGTTCACGGGAAAGACGTGAAAGATATCGAAGGGTAGGCGGCGGCTCCGAACCGACATTATTGTAATGCACATCCTCGAGGCTCAAACCCGAACATGTCCGGCTCCTTCGGCGGTAAGATGCTCATGCTGTACTCGACTCGATACATGGCCAGCATGCGTTATTCGAGAACACCTCCAAACCTGTGCCGCGTTGCAACAGCTCTCCTTGATTTCATGGAATCAACGGATGGAATGCTCGATCTCTAACCTTGGTTCAGCGATCAACCCCCAAGAGATGGATGGCATTGGATGTTTGGAATCCTTTGTCTGGAGCTCCAATTCTAGTGAGCCGTAAGAACACCCGCACACCAGCGGATCAACATCCATTGCAGACCAAATCTACCGAGGAATCAACAACTGACAGAATCGACATTGCGTTACGTAGGTGATCGCGAAAAGCTAAGGTGAGTCAAGACCTTCTTTCTTGCAGACTCCACACCAGGCTTCACCAAAGGCTGGCTCTCTCTCTCCGAATCCCACTACGTCAGGAGCGACAGATGGCAAACCAACCCATCTCCGAAAATTCAATTGCTTTCATTGTAAGCCTATACAGTATTGTCAACTTTCTCCCCTTCTGCACCATGATGATTTGGCAGGTCTATTGCCCGGGCACCTTCTAGCGCTGTCTATATCTAAGTGAACATCGTTCTATGTGGCACACTTTTGGACCGCTTGGAATGTGATGTGTGCCTTTGGCGTATCCCACTCTAACTTCAGGCCATCTCAATCCGATCACCCGGCGATTTGCTTTCACTGCTTTCGATCTCAACCGCAAACACGCCTTGAACACTTTTGGAAACCTCACGGTCTAGTGCCATCTTCTCCTCTGTGGTCAGTTGGTTAATATCCAATGCGACTTCATCGCCAAAAAGCCTCGAAATCTCCTCAAGTGTGAGGAGCTTCGTCTCCGGGAAGAACTTCCACATCAGTGCCGCACCAAGCAGTGGTAGGATGATGAACAGGATGTAGAACTTCCATCCGACTTCCGCGAAAGCGACTGGTGCGGTCTGAGTGTATATCAGGGTGGCGGTGAACAGCCCGGCCACGCTGAAGCCCGTCCCCTGGGCTCTAAGCGGAGTCGGGAAGATCTCGCTGCAGTATACGTACGAGGTAGCATCCATGCTCCCGCCGTAAAAGAAGACAAACAGGAACAAGAAGAACACTCCAAAACCGTTGCCGACCTGGTTCGTTGTTCCGCCGAATGTTGCAACCATGGCAGTAAAGCAGATCAACGAACAAGCACAACCAGTCAGCCCGATGAGCATGATTCTGATTCGCCCAAGTCGATCAAGGAACAACGAGTTGATAAAGTTCATGAACGCGGCCACACCATTATACAGGGCGTTCAATAGCAGAGGTAGGGAGCCGGTGATGCCCAGAGACTTGTAGAGCAAGATCTGATAGCTGCAGGGGAAAGTTAGCACCTTTCTCAGCGAGGTGATCTTACAAGCCTATACCAATATGGCTGGGATGGGTGTTGCTGGGCAGGCTGGACAACTTACTTATTGACAACCAAGACACCAGTGCTTTGAGCGATGAACTGTGTGCCGAATCCCAAGATCAATCTCTTCCGCAGGCTAGGCTTCTTGAACAGAGCCGCCCAGCTCCTGCTCAGCTTGTCTGCACGCTCGAGCTCGATTTGCCTGCGGATCTGGAGGAATTCCTCACGAGCAACGATCTCTTCTGGGTCTTCGGGTCGGGTATGCAAGTTGCGAAGGACCTGGTAGCCGTCCTCCAGCCTGTCGTGGTCGATTAGCCACCTTGGGGACTCGGGAAGCCAGGGCGATCCAATGAACAGCAGAAGCGGTGCCACAATCTGCAGGCTCAGGCATAGTCTCCAGCTGACGGTGGGCGTGGCAAAGTATGTTCCAAATCCTGAGAAACCAGCACAGCTATACCCGATAACAATCAGCACGCCGTGAGCACCGACCATGCGGCCGCGTTGACGAGCGGGAGAGATCTCGGATTGGAAGACTGGGATGGACGTGTCAAGCATGCCAACCGCAAAACCGTTGAGGAAGCGAGCGATCAGGAACATGGCGATGTGGACGCTACCTCCCTGCAGTGCTGCCGAAACGATTGCCACGGCTGCTGCAACCTGGATCGTTCGGCGACGGCCCAGACGGTCGAGCAGCCACGGCACGAAGATACATCCCAAGATGCCACCTCCTGAATATAATCCATTGGTGGCTCCGGTGATCTGGTTGCCCTGAGTGTCGTCGAGGCTGATATTGAAGTATTGGAAGAACGCTGGTAGGCCGATGACAAGGCCCATGATGGCACTGTTGAAGCCATAGGTGAAGCTACCCAACGCAACGAAGAAGACAATGAGGAAATTGTATCTTGTTCCGCCGGCCATGTTGTTCCGATCTGGGTCTTGCGATCAAAAGAACAGTCTACACACCGAAAGCGAGACGAAAACGATCTGTCCCAAAGAATGTTCCAAGAATTCCAAGAATACCAAGAGATCTTAAGAGATCCAAGACTCCTCGAACGGATATCTCGCCGTTCGATGCGAGAGTCTGGTTCATATCCTCGCAAGTTGGAGACTTGATCCGGTGGATTTCATTGTCGATCCTATTGATCCAGCATGAATCCCAGGGGCCCCGGACTTCCCCAATTCCCCAAACATGAGGAAGATCCATATGCAGGTATTCGGTAGAAGCTGTTTGGTAGCAGGTCGCCGTCGTCAGCAGCGCGGACTTTTGCCGTCGTTTCTGCACGTGGCGACATCGCAGGAAATGGATCATGATGTTCGGCCTCGGGCCTCCAACTTTTTGCTAGCCTCGTCGTCTTGTACAGTCCAATCAAAGGCTTCATGCTCGTTTCTCCGCATGGACATCAACCCCGGACATCGTTCGCCGTGAAGAACACTCGGTACGTATCCGGCGGGATCATTCCCCAGTGACCCCTCAGCACTGCAAATGCCTTGACAACCCAAAACCAACATCATAACTCCTCGGCATAGAAAACCCCTTTGAGTAACGGGATGATTGTCCCCAAAATTTGGAGATGTTCCGATCTTGGGAGTTTGGAGATAGACTTTTGTGAAGTTCGCTCAAAGAAACAACTTTTTGGCCCCTTTACCAAACGACCAATTTTCTCATACGAAGCATTCAAATCATGTCTCTGAGGTTGAAGGACAAAGTGTGTATCATCACAGGCGGCGGCCATGGCTTCGGAGAGGCCATGGCAAGGCGTTTCGCCGAAGAAGGGGCGCGAGTGGTCATCGCCGATATCAATGCCACGACTGGGGTCAAAGTCGCATCTGAGATCAATGGCGCGCATGGCGAAAAAAGGGCGTTCTTTCAGGAGGCAAACGTCACCAGCCAGGCTTCGTGGGCGGCGTTGCTGGAAGCCTCATTAAAGGAATTTGGCAAGGTCGACGTCGTGGTCAACAATGCGGGGACGACATATCCCAAGAAAGCCTCGCACACGGTCACGGAAGAAGAGTACGACAAGGTGATCAGTGTCAACATGAAGTCCATCTTCCTCAGCGTCGCCGTAGTGGTGCCATATTTTATGGAAAAGAAGGCGGGCACCATCCTGAACGTGAGCTCGGTGGGAGGAATCCGAGTCAAGAACGGGCTGGTGAGTACCTGGCTGCAGGGTTTCTCCTCGAAGCCGGACGCTGACAAGGATTGCAGGTATGGTATGGTGGAACAAAAGCATTTGTAAATAAGGTATTTCCTCACCGTCGCCTGAAAGCTCATGCACTGTCGCTGACTTCCCGCCCAGATCACCGAGGGCCTCGCTTCAGAATACGGCCATGCTGGAGTCCGGGTTAATGCCGTCTGCCCCATCCTAGCATACACCAACCTGTCAGCTAAGCCCCGTTTTTTTTTTGAATTGTCTCTAGTTGGATTCCAAAGAACTGACTGGTCCATGATACAGGGCACAATCCTTCATGGGCGTCGACGACACACCAGAAAACAGGGCGAAATTTGAGGCATCATTCCCGCGCGGTGAAGCTTTGAAGCTCAACACTTCGACCGGATATGTCGCCAACGCTGCGGTGTACCTTTGCTCCGACGAAGCAGCGTTCGTCAGCGGCATATGTATGCCTGTCGACGGCGCGGCAACTGTGTTTGCTGCCGGAGGTATGTGGCCCCCCTTAAGAAAATCCGTGTGGGCAGCCTGAGTGAAACTAAC